TGAAAACTTTAAAGGTATCAGAAGAATATGAAATTCTAAGCATCCATGTACCTAAAAACAAAACTTCAAATACGTAATGTAATAATTTATAGAATCACAAGGAGAAATAGACTGTCTGATTATACAGGTCAGTCTCAAATACACAGTGAGACCCTGTCTCAAAAAAACAAAAAAAAAGAGAGAAATTTCAAGATTCCTCTCTCAATGCATATAAAACTCAACCTCTATTTCTGGTAAAAGCTTCAAAAAAACAAATGAATTGACACAATGGAAACTATTTGGACATAAGAAAAATAAATCTTACAGGAAAATCGATGCATATTGAGACCATAATGCTAAGTGCAATAAATCAGACAGTTTAAACATTGCATTGTTTCTGTTACATGAGAAATCATAGCATAATAATTTAAATACTAAAATGAAAGATACATGATACGAAATAGGAAGGTAGACCTTATATAGATTGTCAGTGAATCTAGGGATGCAGGAAGATGAGCGGAAGTAAAAATGATAATTTTGATATTCATTTTCCATGCAGAATGTATTCATTATGTATTGTGAACACGTACTAATAAAAAGTAAAGGGTTACAAGAATAAAGAATTATTTGAAAGCTGAGAATAAGGAAATTAAAATAACCTTCCTCCAGTTTCCAACGGATGGGCAAATAGGCTATTTCCAAGATTTAGCTATTACAAACTGTGCCGCTATAAACATGGGTGCACATACTTCTCTGTGATATGATTCTTTTAGTTCTCTTGGAAAGATACCCAGCAGAGGGATGGCTGGGTCAAATGGATCCTCCAGTCCAAACTCTTTGAGGTAACTCCATATTGATTTCCATAGTGGTTGCACCAGTGTGTACTCCCACCAACAATGGAGAAGGGTTCCTTTCTCCCCACAACCCCGCCAACATTTGTTATTGTGTGATGTCTTGATAGCAGCCATTCTTTGTGGGGTGAGGTGGAATCTCAGTGTTGTTTTCATCTGCATCTCTCGAATGACCAGTGATGTGGAACATTTTTTCAAATATTTTCTTGCTGCTTTTACTTCTTTGTCTGAGAAATGTCTGTTCATTTCGGATGCCCATTTTTGAATCGGGTCTTCATATTTGGGGGGACTGATTGTTTTGAGTTCTTTATATAGCCTTGATAATAGTCCTTTGTCTGAGGACAAGATCCCAACAATGAATGTAACTGTGCTGTATCCCTAAAATGTACCAATAAACTCAATTAAAGCTGAAAAAAAAATAACCTTCCTCAGCTTAATAAAGGGGAAACACAAACATACTTATACTTGATGAAAAACTGAGTAGTTCCAAAATCATCAAGTTTCTCTTGTTCTCAGTCATTAAACACATATATACAGACATATACAGACACCCATTAAAATTTCAATGAACATCTTTTTATATGTCAAAAATCATTCTTTGATCTACCATACATATGTGAATAAAATACACTGGATAATTGGTTAAATAGTAAAGAGTTTGACAAAGTTTTTCTGGAATAGTCTGCAAATTAAACATTTCAAATTTGTGAGACCTATATAATCTCAGTTTCATGTTTTTCCTTTTTTTTTTTTTTTTTGTGGCACCAGGGATCAAATTCATGGCCCTGCATTTGTGAGGCAGGGATAGTGTCAGTGACCTAAATCCCTGGTCCTTTCTTGTGTTTTTAACATCTCCTTAAAAATACAAAAGTCCTTATTACTTTGCAGTCCATCTATAAATAGAATATCACCCAGATTTGGTTTATAGGAGTCATAGTTCATCAACCTCTGTTGTAAATTGTAAGCTATAAATGGGAGACAGAGAAAACAAACAATATATAAATATTAAACCAAAATGAACTATCACCCTCTATGACAAGTGAATCATCCCCAACATTCCTTGCCATACTATTGTATGGCTTCTTTCTAGCTTCTCTTTAGGAAATTGCTAGTCTATTTCCTCTCATTTTAGTTTGTGTCTTGTAGAATTTTATATAAACTGAATCCTATAGTAAACATTCCTTTTTTTGGTCCATTTAAGTTACATAGTCATTTTGCAATTCATCTATTGGGCTGCATCTAGCAATAATATAGTCTTTTTATTGCTGAGTGGAATTCTATTTTGTATTATCTTCCTATTTCCACTATAATCAATTTTTCTAAACTTAGCAGCTTAAAAGTACAAGTTTATTATCTTTCAGTTCTGTAGGGAAGAAGTCCAATGTGAGTCTTATTGGAAAAAATCAAGTTATACACAAAACTGTGTTCTTTCTTGAAAACTTTAGGGGAGAATCTGTGTCCTTGCCTTTTCCAGGTAAATGTTGACCGTGCATGCAAATTTGGAGGCTGTATTGCCCCTTTCTATAAAATCATTGGGTAAGTAAAAAAAATAAAGTTTTTTAGTGTTGCAACTAGCCTTCTCCTGGTAGAAGTATTTGTATGAAGTAAAATGTTCAGTTTGTGAGTGTGTATAAATGGAACAATGCTCAGGAAAACACTTTGGCACTCAGATTACCAAAGCTCAAATATCAGCTCTGCCACCACCAGCTGTATGACTTTAGACAAATTGTTTCACTTGTCTCTGCTTCAGTCTCTTCTGTCATAAAAATTAATTACAATTACTATGTTGAGAGGATTATATTAGTGCACATAAAATTAATATACATAAAATTTTTAAAACAGGACTTACACTAGTTCCACAAACATATTCAATGGCATATGAATGTCATTGATGTAGTAAAAATAGGCAGGGTAATTTTTATATTGTTAATAACAATATTTGAGTGCTCACTTTGGCAGCACATATAATAATAGTAGCAGCTGGGCATGGTGGTGCACACCTGTAATCCCAGCACTAGAGGGGCTGAGGCAGGAGGATCTCTGTGAGTTCAAAACCAGCCTGGGCTGTGTAGTGAGTTCCAAGTTCCAGGTCAGTCTCAACTACATAGTGAGACCCTGTCTCCGAAAAAAAAAAAAATGTAACAATAGTTGAATTCTTATTTTCTGTATTCTTAGTATTTGGGTTATCTTACATCCACAGCACCTTATTATGGTTTGTTCAGGTCTTTCTTAATTTTTGCTACATTTGATGGAGAAAGTTTGGACCAACCTGTGGTGAGTAACACTGCAAGTACCATAAATGTAAGCCCCAATATTCTCAGATTTTTTTCCATGTAAGAAATAGGAAGGAATATGTGAAACTGTAAGCAGGGAATCACGATTTCTATAGTGGCCACAGTCTATGCCTTCAGAGGTGGCAGAGCACTCCAGTGTACCATCTCAGTGAACCAGAGATCAACACTGAAACACGATTAAAATCTAAATAGGAAATCCACTGCACAATCTTTTAACTGAATGACCCTGCATAATTCCCTTAACCTTCTTAGTCTTGTTTTTATGTTGTATAAAAAGAGAAGTAAAAATATGTCATAGAAAATTTCTTTTGGTTAATATTTTTATTATTTATTTATTTCATTAGTACATGTTTGCAGTACGTAACATTCACATTCCTCATATGGAGTTGATACATTTATATGACATATTTGAATTCCATTTTTCGTACCTTTTCCCTCCCCCATCATTAGATCCCCTTCTCATTTGAAAAAGATCTGGCTCCTTATTTCCTATTAAAGTAAAAAGAGATGTAACTTCCTACTATATAGTTTGGGCAGTTCTATTTAGCTTGAAAGTAGCATTGGTTCCATAATTATATGTCATTTATAAAAAACATTAGAGCAGTATGAAATTACAATCTAGTTGTTTAATATCTTAAAAAGTTTGAACATATAAATATACTTAAATCCTCATGAATATTTGCTTTATATTTCTATTTATGTCTTCAACACCTTGGGATTATTTGGCTTAGAAATTATGCTTTTTCTTTCAGTAAAATGAATTACAAGATCTCTAAAGGAGCCTCCAAAAAATAGACTTGGGAATCTAGTTTACACTAGATCACAAATGTACAGTACAGTATATATAGATAGATAGATAGATGTGTGTGTGTGCGTGCGTGCGTGCGTGTGTGTGTGTGTGTGTGTGTGTGTAATAAAAGAGGGAAAACCTAAAACAACCTTGTAGTATGGAATCCTAAAACTCTCGTCTTGTGATGATTATGGAGTGGAAAGGTCAACTATTTCTAAGTTCTTCAAATATGTTCTATCATTTTGGGGGCCTACATTAGGCAATTAAATTTGTCACTTCTATTAAATAGAGAAAAAATAAAAGATGTTATCTCATATTGATATGAAAATATACCCTAATATAGAGGATAACAACATGAAAATATAGAAAGAGACAATATTCTGTATGAAGTTAGGGTTCACTCATCATGAAGAGAAGTAGTAAAGAATTATAACTTATCTTTGAAATATTCAAAGCTATTTCACTGTTGCTATGCAAAAATTAACATTACTAAATATAAAAGCACTGGTAAGTAAATGTTCTCAGTATTCATTTACATGAAGAATATTTCATTCTATAAGCCACACAGAGGAGGATTTAAGAAAATGTTAAATGAAATGTTTTATCGATATCTATGGATGTTTGCAATTTACCTTGTCTCTAACACTAATTGTACAATTGTCTTTATGCACCATCAGCTGCAAAGCACAGTGTGACCTGCAAGGATATTAAGTCATATCAAATATTATTCATCATATCAAGTCTAAATACAGCTATCATTCCTTTGGTATAGAGAAATGTACCTAATATTACTTTAGAGTTAAAATCTGAGCATCAGTTCTTTCAGAGAGAAAGGTGATCTTTCTTAAAAAATATAAAATATAGAACAAAAAATAGGTATAGAAAATTAAATATAAAAATGTATAGAAGAGAAAAACATGATAAAATTGCTACTGTTAATATTACAATGATTTTGCTTTCACAGATACATTTTACTTTAGGTTAATAATCTTTCACATGCCTCAAAATGATTTCCTTTAAAATTACAATGACTCCATTTTAAAATTAATAGATACAGAACTGAAGAACTAAGAGTCATTCCTTTTATTATGTTTCCAGAGGAAGAACATTCCTTATGAGTGTAGAAACCTGGCCAGGCTTCAAAATCTGGCTCCTCAGTTTGGACATAGCTACCTTCATTTCTTTGTTTCTCAGGGTGTAGATAACTGGGTTTAAAATGGGAGTAAAGACTGTATAGAACACAGCAAGGACTTTGTCCACGGAATAACTGCTGAAGGGCCACACATAAATAAAAATGCACGGTCCAAAGAAGAGTGTGACCACGGTGATGTGGGCAGTCAGCGTGGAGCGGGCCTTTGCCATGCTCGCAGAAGAGCGTTTCCTGACTGTAAGAAGTATCACGGTGTAGGAGACAACCAAGAGGAGAAAGGAACTCAGGGAAAGAAAGCCACTGTCTGCGACTATAAGTAAGCTGACGACATAAGTGTCTGTACAGGCTAGCTTGGTGACTAGAGGGAGGTCACAGAAAAAGCTGTCCACCTGATTAGGGCCACAGAAAGGCAAGTCGACAGTAAATGCCAGCTGGCTAGTAGTGTGAATGAAGCCCACAAACCATGGAATGATGACAAGAACGATGCATACACGGCGGCTCATGATTGTGGTGTAGTGGAGCGGCTTGCAAATAGCCACATAGCGATCGTAGGCCATGGATACAAGCATGACCATTTCACCACCAGCAAAAAGATGGACACAGAAAATCTGAGTTAAGCAAGCTTCAAAAGAAATAGTCTTATGCTCAACAAGAAGGTCTGCAATCATTTTGGGGGTAGCAAAAGAGGCAACACACACATCTATGAAAGAGAGGTTTGCAAGCAGAAAGTACATGGGGGTGTGAAGGCGAGGGTCTGAGTTCACTGTGAGGATGATGAGGAAGTTCCCCAGTAGTATTGACAAGTAGAGCATTGAAAATATGAGAAACAGGAAAGGCTGGAGCTCCTTGGAACTAGAGAGTCCCAGCAACACAAACTCAGTCACCCGAGAATAATTTGTCTCATTCATTGACTTTGGAAGAGACTTATCTCCAGTTGCCTGAGTAGGAGAGAAATAGAAAACAGTGAATGAACTGAGCATAGGGTGAATATCCTTCTTTTGTCCCAATCTTTAAGAATTCTAATTTTTACTCCAATATGTATGTTGGATTTGCTGTCTCTTTCAATACAGATAGCACAACAACAATCAAAATGAAATTAATAAGGACATAATGAGATACTGAAAAATACCCTTCTAGAAAAGGAGCGTGTTAATTGTGCAGTTGGAAGAGAAAATTACATTCACTCACTTAGTTCCATGAATTTGTGAAATCAACTAACTTGTGAAAATAATACATAGAAGATAGTTCAATGTCACAGAAATCCAATGTTATAAACTATAAACTCAAAAATCTGTCATTGTTTTCTTCACAGAATTAAATAAGAACTCAAAAAAATGTAAAGCCACCAAAGATAAATAGACTGACAAAATTAATACTGTGCAAGGAGTATTAGAAAAAAAGTGAATATGTATATCCTTTCAATGAAAGGAAATTCAAAGAAAGACAAGACAAATCACCTAGAATTAGAAGTCAGGATGATGATTATCATATAAGGAATAAAAGAGAGAGGGAGAATTGTGGTAGGAGCTCTTGGAGCACTGGGGTGATGAAAGTGTTTCCATTACTATTCAGGCCATTTCATGCATTGGCTGCTCTGATATTTCCTTGCATAGCTCATTACTAATGAAGTTATCATACACATACTGAGTAATTGAGATCTTCTAAACCTATGTAAATATTTTATTTCCATTCTTGAACTTTTCTCCCTCATGCTAAAGATCTAAAACAAGAGGAAATCTTAGCTCTCATCTTTACTTGAAGAAAAGCTACAAAGAGTAAAAAAATACACCTAGGGGAGGAGGGGGTGAAGGGAGGGCAGAGGTAAGGGGAAAAAAATGAGAATCAAGACTTGCCATGTAAAGGTACATGATCCCAACAATGAATGTAACTGTACTGTATCCCTAAATGTACCAATAAACTCAATAAAATTAAAAAAAATACACCTAATTTCTTTCTTGTTTTGTCATTGACTAGAAATGGGAGAATCTTTTAAATCAAGATTTTCAAGCATAGGGCCAGGGATTTAGGTCAGTGGTGCTGCCGCTTGCCTCGCAAGTGCAAGGCTCTGAGTTCAATCGTGGGTACAAAAAAAAGAAAAAAGAAAAAAAGCTTTTAAAGTATATATGATAAACATGTTGGGCTAGGAGAACTCTAAGATTTTTGCAATAAATTTGAGTTCATCTTAAATCAATTTACTCTGTGAGAATTTAATGCCTCCTTCGTACAGAACTCTGTGCGAGAACTAAGGTTAAAGCAATCAGATTTAGGGTTAAACCTTTAACCAAAGAAGATCATCCAAAAATATAACCCTTGTTCTATGCTTTTCATGAGGAGTTCTTGTCCTATTCACACCCACCATGTTCTTTTACTCAAGAAACAATTAAATTGATACCTTTATTGCTCAACAAAAGGATGATTATATTCAGTCCAATCATTATGCCACAGTGGAAATATAGATCTAGTGAGAAAATAATTTGAGGCTAAATCAAAGTGCTGTCCTCAATCAACTATGCAACATTCAGCAGCTCTTTAATCTTTCAAAGTACCTGCAAGCAAGTATAAAATATTAAGAATAATATTTTCAAAGAGAAATGTTTCCTGGAAATTATATGAGTGAAAAATCTTTTATCAAAAATAGTTTACAAAGTATGGTAACACTTATTAAGCATTATTTCACTTCAGAATAAATATTTTGCTTCTGATAGTTATTCCTGCTCTTCTGACTTACACAAAAATGAGTTTTTCATTATGGGATAAGCTCAAGTAAATTAAGTGTTCCCTTTCTTGTTGTGTTTACAAGAGATTAACACAAGCCTGTAAGATTTTGCTATATGAGTTTCAGGTTTTGCTTTGGAGTCTTAAAAAAACCAGTCTCTCCCTAATTTTATTTCTAAAATTGTGTGGTTGGTGCCTTGTGGCTAAAATAGACTTAAGTATAATTGCAGGTGCCTCAAATCCATGATTTCAAAGTTTGACCATTCAGAACTTTCTTTGCCTATTTCTCTATCCTACATATTCTGTCACTCACAGTCATTGTGGGAAAAGGCAAGTGCTAGTAGATGATCCTTGGGAGTAAACTGACAAAATGTTTTCACCTACCTAAGAGAAGAAGGACAGTGTCCTTTATTCCATGGTCGTTGAGCTTCTAACTAGGTTTAATTGTCAGGTATGGCTGACAGGGAATCAAACGTTGGTATGATCTTGAGGACATGAGTCATAAATAGATTTGTTTTTAAAGGAAAAAAACAGACGTAGGGTCTTGGGTGAAGAGGGGCTGTCATCCAGGAGGTTGGAAAGGACTGCAGGCAGTGGCCTAATGGAAGCCCCTCATATCTGGGACAGCACTGGATTGCTGAGGAATCTGAGAGAAGAAAAAAGTTTAGGGAGGAAAAATGAAGAAGCACTGAAAACAAATATACAATTGTCACATAAACTGAGCAAAATTATCCTATACTGCTTCTGATTTTTTAGTAGTACTAGATGAAATATGCTGTCAATCACAGTAATTCGAAGGACCTCTAGGAATTATACCCCCCAAACCTCACTAAAATTCCAGGCAGAAGATAGATTCCCACTCTTCACCCATCACATATCTGAGGAAACTGCAAACTCCCAATTTAACCTCCAGAAATATGGACAGAGTTTTTCAGATTGATCATAAGAGGATACTACAAAATTTCAACTAGAACTTTTAAAAAATTAAACTTTTTTTTCCTGATCAAAGTTTTAGCCACAATATTATCCAAAAGTATTCAAAATATTTTTTAAAGAATTACAGCCAATAACACTGTGTGACAATTTAAATTCTGTAAGGTCTCTGAAGTAAAGGAAATGTAGTAATTTTGTCAGCATAATGCTTATGAAATGTTTAGGCTTTTAAATTATTTTATCTTACTTTCCCTAAATTTTAAATTCAGATGGCTTTTTTTTTCTTGGAGACATATGGGCTATGATAATCATACAATTAAGCCAGTCACTTTTTCCTATACAACATAATAGATTTAATCACATTTGTGCTGTTTCTCAAAAAAAGGTATATTGCAAAAGGCACACTTTTATCACAACTGCATGTACAAGAGGTTCTTGGTTTTCTCTAATTATTTCTAGGATGGTAAAATGCACGTGATGTTGAATCTGTTAAATTGAAATTTTTGAATGCAAAATTTAATACTAAGTATATTCATCTTTTAGAAATGTTTTATTTTCCAAAAGTGAACTGCTTTAACCATTGAATATTGTGTTAAAATTAATGAACTGTTCCTATTTTATTGAAATTTAACTGCTGAAAGTTAAAATGTGTTACTTAAAACATTATGAACAGATTATTTAAAATCCCTCTTAAAATTACTAAAATATAAATTAGTAAGTAATTAATGATGGAATTAATATTTAATATTTTAATTAATATTATTTAAAAATAATATTACTTTCGGCTTTTTTTAAACAGAACCTTCTAAATTATAAGCTCTGAAATACTATAAAGTACAAATCAAAGAATGATGTCTAACAGCATTGTGTTTCATAGAAAATGTTTTCACCTATGATGTAGAAAATCTTAATTACATGTCTACATCTCACTGAATTACTTTATAAATTTTTGGCAAATCACAAACACTGTCGAGCACAGTTTGTCTTTTAAAAATGGGGTGATTAAACATTCTTGCTCTTCAGCTATAATAGTCTTTGATTGTTTGCATTTTAAAGACATAATTCAAGAAAAGCAAATGGATTTATTGTAAAACAATCTAGTTACCCTGACCAATATGTGTATAATCAAACAGGTGAATATTTCCTGTTTTATCAAAGAAACACATGCACCACTTACCCTTCAGTGTCCAGTATGGAAAAACTGTGATAGACAATATGAATAGAAGACATGAAAACATTTTTTTCAAAGTAGTATGGGTGCGGGCAAGTGCCTCTGACCAGTCTCTTCTGGCTGAATAAAGAGCCTAGGAGAATACGTCAAAGATGATCTACCTCTGGTTTGCCCCAGGCCTTACACAGGTAGAGAACACACATCTAACCTTATACCGTCTAGTGTACCACTGCCCTCAGCAGAGACAGAAGGAAAACTAGGATGACGGTCGCAAGTTACATGGGGACAGACACCAACAGATTGTGATAATAGGTATAAATGATGATGTATCTATGCAAGGTACATGATAGACAATTGTTGTAGGGGTGGTTTGGCAAGAGGTTGAAATTAGAGAGGGAAACAGTTTTATTTGATTTTGAACAAAGAAGCATAATCACATATTATTCTAGTACACAGATTGTGTTCTTAGAAAAAATATATAATGTCTATCTTCCCATTATCTAGTTCAAAACAGCAATAAATTATATCCAACTGTTCATTATTTTGCTCAAAATAACATTTCCTGTCCTAATTTTATTCACAATTTGATAATAGGTAAATTAGACATTTTGCAAGTATCTAAATATCAAAGCCTTATAAACACAAGGTCCTGAGTTTTATCCCCAGAAAAAAATAAAAATGAAACCAACTAGAAAATAAAATAAATATACAAGAGTGAAAAAGATTAAGTAGCAGAGAAAGGGCAGGAGTAGTGGAACACACCTCTAATTCCAGCAGTAGGGAGTTAGAAGTAGGAGGATCATAGCAACTTTGAGGCTGTCTTGGGCTACATAGAGAGTTCAAGACTAGCCTAGAGTACATAGTGAGACTCTGTCTCAAAAATCAAACAAAAAGCAGAGAAAAGACAGATGATGATAGTGAGGAATGTCTCCTTAAGATTCTGATCCTATTCCTATCAGGATTACCTTCAAGTAGGGCAGCAGAAGTCATTTAATCTTTTCCAAATGGAGTTTCCAATTTGACTGAGACAATTATCACTAACTCTCTTAAACTTCCAACTCAGGTGGAAAATTTTATAATTAGTACAATTTCTATATACTTCTGACCTGATGCATTTTAACTTGGTCCTGTGCTAATGAGAGTCCTTCAGGATATGCCTAG